TTCGTTTCTTAAAATGTTACTATAGATATATCCTCAAGCATGGTGATACATTGGCTCTGCTATTATTTTCCCCTGTGGCTTATATCCTAAGAAATACCCGTTGATATACCTTCACTTATAAGAAGATACAATTTCTAGAAATTGAATAGAAAGATAAACTCTAGACAACCATTTATTTTAAATTAGTTTTTCGAACTTACGGCAGCTGCTAGTATGTTACGTCGACTTTCTAGCAACAATGCTTACGTTAATATGTAATATTTTAAATATGTTAAACTTAAGGAACAGTTTCGCAATGATAATTTATATCACATCTTCCATGAGTTCAATCCTCACTGAAGTCCCCTTGTGAAACGTCCATTGGAAAAAAATATTCTTATATGACATACCCTTTTATGACTTTCGATTATGACCTTTCACAACTTCCTGTTTTTAATTGCTCTAGATAACTTTTGAATTTTTACATTTCTTCATAGTTTTGCCATGCTTTTACTCAAATTCTTTAAGTAGGATATTCCTTGTTTCCTCTCTTTCGTTTTACTTCAATATGTCCTGCAAGTCTTAAAGTCACTAGACCCTCTTACCACATTATGTGTACCAGGAAGTTCAACCGTCTCTTTTCTGATTTTAATGATCACAAGTTATCGGCTTTCTTTTAAGTTAATAGAAGACTTTTCCTCCGTCAAGGTAGCATTTGACTAGATGCCGTAAGCACTTAAAGAGAAAGAAACTCATTGTCAGTAAGGCAGTAGTAACACTCGCTTTACAGTAAATGGCTTCTAGTGTTACGGGCGCATGAAACAAGCACTAATTCTGGAGTTATGCTATAGGAGTGCCGATCATAATCCCGAATCTTAAAAATGTCGAAATGCTGAAATTTAAAATCCCGAAATTTGAAATCCCGAATTTATAAAATCATGAAAGATCAGAATCCCGAAATTTAAAATACCGAAAGAAAATATATTTACAAAATAGCGTTTAAATAGTATTTATACATTTGAAACATTCAAAATTCATTAAAAAAAATATAAAACTTGAATATGGTATAGGCGATGGGAAAATTTATTAGACAATATTCATGTCGGTGTTTATCGTATTATTGGAGAGTTTCAAAAAGAGCAGTGGGAGGTAGAAAACGTATGTGAAGACTTTCTCCGAGGAGAGTCTTGTCCAAAAAGAAAAGAAAATGTGTGTTTTATCGTGCAGAAAGTCTTAAAATATAGTTACCGATCCTGAAAATGACCAGATCTTATGCACTATCTTAGGGCTCTTGTTCATAATCTTTCATTATGAATTATTCATATATTATAAAATATTTTTAATGAATATTAAATGTTTCAAATATATAAACACTGTTTAAACGGTATTTTGGAGAAGTTTAGAAATAAAGGGATTTTCATCATTTTGTTTTTTTTTTCAATCTCTCCCAAAGACTATTTTTCGGGATTCTGATCTTTCAGAATTTTAAATATCGGGGTTTTGATCATTCGAGATTTTGATACATTCGGGATTTCGAATTTCGAGATTTTAAATTTCACGATTTCGATATTCGGTATTGTATGATTCGGGATTATACCCCCACCCATACTTTAGCAAGCTTAATCGCTTGAGCTCCTTAAAATCAAAAAATCCTGAGAAAGGACGATATCCAGTTTGTCAGTTGCGATCAGGCGATGAAAATGATTTAATAGGAAAATATCAAACGCCGGCTGAGCGATAAGCATGAAAAGGAGTCATGAAAACATTTCCACCAAATGAATCCATGAAAAGTGACCCACCTTTTCTGCAGGGTGACAGAAAACGTTTCGCAACAACGATCTGAACCTGCCTGCTTTTAATTCTAATTTCCCGCGAGAAATTATATGGCCCTGGTCTTCAAACTATGGCCGCCCAGCTGTACGTTTTCATTTCATGATTTGTGGGGAGTTTGGGGTTTGAGCTGTCTCTCTCATTGCATCGTGCAAAGCTGTTTAGATTTCTGTTTTATTGACGAGTCAATGGTTTTATTGATTGATGATTTTCTAAGCGTAGATGTGGCACAAGGCCGAAAATATGGGACACCCAGTGAGGATCGAAGTCACTACTCAGTCGTATCTGTTCTAGCGAGACAAGCTTGTTAACTATTACACTACGTTGAGGTGACCTGATCGTTTTTTGACTGCATTCATGAAGTTGATATTTTTCTGTTTTTTTTATTCTTATTTTTACTTAAACGCGGATTTCAGATATCTATCTGATTTTCAATAATCAGATGATTTAAATATGATACAGGTTTTATTAAACTGTTCCACTCAGGTCTACAAAAAAGGATGGAAGGCTGTGTTGCATCATTTTCCAGAAATTCCTGACTGCTTTGAAAATCAGCATGCAAAATATTATCTTTGTCGATATTTACAAGAAGTAATGAAAATATTAGCCGTTTTCTCATCAGGAAATATTCGGAATTCCTTGTGCGATCAACCATTCCTGTTGAAGTTGAAGTTCATAAATGTTTTCTCTTTAAAAATTTACCATGGAAGATCTAGGGATTAAAACATTTTCTAAACTTTTTCGTCTTAGAAAAAGGATTAAAAAAAAATTGGCACCTTTCGTTACCAGGTATTCATATGAAATCTGACAAAATTCAGCATTTTGTAAGCTACCAGCTATTTATCTCCTAAAAATAGTATTGGACTAATTTCTCAATAAAATAATGAAAAATGGAGTCAGCAAACTCTTATGAAAAATGATGATGCTGATAATAAAAATGGAAGAGTATTTATTTCTAAATTGTTTACATGACGATTTCACTTTTAGTTAAATTCTGTTTTCTTTAATCTTTCATGATTATTTTTGTTCGAATTTAGAAAAATCTAACAGTATCAATAGTTGAACAAAGGAATTTCATAATTACGAAAGAAATTCATGATTAAGAAGAAATATTTTAACAATCTACAATTTGATTTACTCTACCAAAATCAAAACCTAGGGAACCGTTCATAATTAACATTGTTCATTGAATAAAAATACTCCAAGCACAAATAAGACAGCCTATCAGGAATTATTATACACACAGTCATTACAATAAAAGTCCATATTTGTTTTGTTTTTTATAATTAGCCATAAACCCGGTATAAAACTCTTAGTGTACAGTCAAATTCAACAAAATGATCTCACGATGAAAAACCAAAATATTTCCGAGTCATTGACGCTTTCTCTGTGAATGAACTGTAAAAGTTATTAAGATCTGATCTGAAGATCAGATTGAACTTATATTTTTTTAGGGTTGCATCGCAAATGCTACGGTCATAAACTAAACGCTTTGGTCAGTTATTACTTTCCGTATGATCTTCTTATCAGCAAATATTTAAATGCCTTTTTATCTAATACGTTCTTAATTTTTCTTCGTTTACTGTTCTCTCTTCTTAATAGTGTTGTTTTTTTTTCTTTTTCATATTTTCTACCTTTCAGTAACACTTTGCATTTTAGTGGCTTTATTGGCTTGCTTGGGGTGAAATGATTAAAAATAAGAAAACATTCTGCACTCTTCATAAATAAATGTCACAAAGAACGTTTAGCTTTTAAATTGATAGAAATATAAGATCGAACAGTTATATCCAGTGTTTATATTCGTTTGTAATTTTCTTTATATTTAGGGTGGGTAAAACGTTCTTAAAAGGTTGTAAATTTATTTTCAATTTTACTATTTAATTTTATATCTGATACCAGTGTCTCTGCTCTAGAGCGCAGAGCGAGTTTGTGTCTTTGTCTCATTGGATTAGAAAACATACGTTTAGGAGAATAATATTTGAAAACATTCAATAAATGCGCTTCAAGGCTCAGAGTTCCAGATTTGGAGAAAGAGGCTTTTTTTTGTTGTTGTAAGAGTTCACAAACTCAAACCTATAGCCATCCATAGCAAGTATAGATTTTATGTTCCAGATATCTAAAAAATGTCGGAAGATTTCTGACTTTATATTTTACGGTTCAAGAGCACAAAAATCATTTAATAAGATTTGCGATTGCTTCCAAGTCAACCATCTTGACTCATCCAGAATCTTACAAGGTGGTTTTATTCAAGTACTTCGTTCGAACTGACGTAGAAGTGGAATGAATTGATATGAAGTTTAAACCATGTCCATGATGGGCAACATGTACAATAAAGCAACATTTTAAACAGTTAAACACAACCAGTTAGACTTTACGATATAAGGTTTACCGTATTTTATTGTGTATAATACACAACCTGTATAAAATGCGGCACCGTGTTTCGAAAGCTAATAAATTACACCGTTGAGCATAATATGATTCCGTAATATAGATATCCCTATGTATTTTTTTAAAAAGTCGTAACATATTGTCCACTAAGATCTCATTTTCGTATATATATATATATATATATTTCACTAAAATATTTAATTTTTCACTATGTTAAAGAATAGAAATGAAAAGGATTTATAGTCATTGCGTGTTTGTTATTCTCATTTCTGTTTCAAAACTGAGTTTCGAATTAGATGGGGGGGCGGAATTTTCGAATTGGCGGGGAGAGACGGTAATATACTAGGTAATATATTTTAATGTGTTAATTAATCTATTATACTTCTTCTAATTGATTTATATTAATAAACTATAAAAACAAAGACAAAAAAAGATATTGTCTTTCATTAAGAATGAATAGAAAAACAAACATTGCCGAAATATCAGACACCTTTTGTAAAGAATCGTTTCGAATTGTGTTTAATCATCTATTGTGCTAACTGGGTCTATCTGAAATTTTACTTTTTCAAGATTTTTAAAGCTGAGTTGAACCTGTTTGAAAATGTGTATTTGTGTATCATACGGATCCCTCTCATTTGCCTTTAATTTTCGTTTAAACTTTCTCGTATTATACACAAGAAAACACGGTAGATAGCTTTTGAGACCATAATAACACCCTTAATACTCAGGGCGTTGACCATTAAATTTATATCATTTATCAATGTTTAAGGATAAAAGAAAAGTAAGACACGAAAATTACTTACTATAGACACCACCTGGTACGTCATCTTCTTCGCAGTCATCATACAATCCATTGACGCGGACGCAATTGCTAACGGCGTTGGAAAAAACGAGCTCCTTACCACAAGCCATTGTAGCTAAACGAATGTTGCCGACACAAACATCATACAAGCTGCAGTTTGTAGGAAGGCGTCTGTAATAAACGCCTAATTTGTTACCACTTTTGCCGCATGGGCTGTAGTCATTCTGACAGTACACAGTGCCAGCAAGAAGGAGAAAGAAACAGGCAGTTTGGATCATTTTGCTAAGATATTATTCTTTTTCTCGTGTTGGTAATATTTATTTTTGTCTTAGAATTCCAGATGGAGAAAAAGATTGCAGTTGCAACAATTGACGTTGAGCGAAAATAACAAATTAGATTCTTGGCACTTCGTCAAAAGGTTAGATTTTGACTTGAACACCAGCAAAGTTTTATAGTCACACAAGACACACCCTAGTGACTCAACGATGCACTAAAATCTCCATTAGTAACCTACGTTGAAACAACCACAGTCGAAAACAAACATTCAACCCGTCACTTCGGCTTGATTGTCAAACACCTCTGTTGTGCGCTAGAGAGGAATCACTCACCGTTTACAACCGAAGGTTGTATACTTACTAACAATTACAAGTAAATATTGCCAACAATGAAAAAGAAATATGTTTATTTTTGCCATGACGAATATATTAGGTGACAATTGAAAGAAAGTCTTTAAACGTTTTGTTTTCGACATTTGCTAAAGGCTTACATCATCGATGGCTTTACAAATGGCTTTGATTTCTTCCGTTTTATGACACATTAAAAAGAAACGTAAACGAACAAGCATTTCCGTTAAAAATTTATTAAATAGATTCCTTGCCTAGCAACTTATATTACAAATCATCCATCGTCAGTATCATCAAAATTTTTAGAGAAGTACGCGGAGCATCAAGAATGTTTTAAGTTAATGAGAATTGATATACTGTGCAAATTAAAACAAAACGAATACTTCCATTATTATTTACTTTTTTTCATATACTTTTCGAATGAAATATGATTCAGTGCACATGTTAGTACTTCGTATGTCCAATCCACGGAGTCGCTCCTTCCAGATTGACCACAGATTCTCGATTGGATTTAAATCAGGGCGTTTCCAGGCCAATCTATATTACTTTAATTTACTCACTGTTAAGGTTTACCAGTGTGTTCATGCAGCGTTACAATTTTTGTACGCATCCTTAGAGTAACGTTAATTGTAGACAATGGCCGTAGGACAAATAATCAACAGTCGAGACAATAGTGTCTGTGATTGAAAAATCTAATGCAACCATAGATGACGCAATATTTTTAAAGGCCAAACAAATTTCATCATACACCCCGAAAACAGATTCATTTTACTGCACACGACTGCAAATGACCTAATCTGAGGAAAAATAGAAATCTTTCACTCCAGTCGGTGGGGGGGGGGATTCTAAAACTAACCGTATGGTGAAAGAAAGGAAACCAAAGCGTCTGTTTCAATTAATTTTCACAAGAGTGTACGCGAGATAATTCGAATAAAACTATACCTAAAAAAATTCATGTCTTCTCCCCGGACATATTCAGTCTATTAAGTGAGGTGATTCTGAAAAACATTACAGGTCCTGAGAAGAAGCATTATTGGCAGTTACAATCTTAACAACAGAAAGATATGCAGATGGCGTAGTGTCAATTGGAAAAATCAAAAGGCTACTACAGGAACTCATATGGAAGGTACTGAAGGAAATTGAGAAGTGATTTTTATTAATCCTTTACAACAAACAAAGCGACGTCACTAGGACACAAGGAGATACAGAGAGTGAAAGAGAATTAGAAGTGCAGTCAAAAAAAGAACAGGATTCAAGAAGACAGAAAATGGCGACTGATGTTGTAATTTAAACTTTTGCAGATTGTAGGTAGCAGGGAACGAAGAAATCGGAAGCTAGAAAAAAAGAACTATTCGAATAGAAAAACGATTGTATCTAGATATTTCAACAGTAAAACGGCGAGCTCTCGATACCAACCAAGTATCCCACTTAAATTAATGCAGTAAGGAAAAAAAATCTCATCAAAATAGTTGCCATGAAAAGACTGGTGTTGCCACAATTGACGTTGGGCGAAGATAACAGATTGGATTCTTGGCACTTCGTCAAAAGGTTAGATTTTGACTTGAACGCCAACAAAGTTTTATAGTCACACAATACTCACCCTACTGACTCAACGACGCACTAAAATCTCCATTATTTGTAGGCGGCAGGTGAGAAAGTATCTGAAGACGAGATGATAGATCAGGCTCGAATATATTGCAGATCCTTCTTTTATTTTAGTTGAGAATTTCGAGATATACAAGCGGTGCACCAGACCAGATATGGCAAACTCTTTTTAATGCGCGGAGGAATTGTAGATTTATATATGTGCACGATAGATTCTGACAAGGAAATATTGTCTAGCATGACACAATGAACCAACTTTACGAGCAGGAGACATCCACTTCCTGTCAGTAGAAAAAGTGAGTCCAAGGGCATAAAGTCTTACTTTTCCTGGTTACAATTGCAAAAAGACTGCGCAAAACAATACATAACCTAACTTGACAGTTTGTGTACATGGTTAGCAGAACAGGGTTTAGAAGAGATAGCAAAAAGAGCTACAAAGCACAAGAAATTCTGGAGAGCCATGGTCACCAACGTCCTGAGGAGATATGATGCATATAAAAAGAAGAATTTATCATAATATGTTTTTTCGTTTTCTACAGAAACTTTATCGAGGTTTCTCGATTTCTGTAGACGTCGTTTCAAGAATTGAATCTATTTTGGAAGAATCATTTTTTCATAAAGACTCTCCTAGTATTTTATTGTATTGTCGAAAATTTTAAGATACTTTTTGTGATGCCAACGAATACTCGTTGTCACTTTCGTAATTCTCATTGTAGCAGAGACTTTATAATCGCAGATATAACAATAGTAGGCTGTTGAACAATACATAGTGTCAGAAGCCTTCGAATAACACTCGTACTAATAATACTTGCTCGATCATCCTCGTTCGGAAAGTAACCAGCGTATAGTTATCTGAATATAGAAATAGTATAGTGAATAGAATAGTGAATAGCGGCACGTATAGTAATAGAGGATAGAATAGAAATAGAGATCAGAATAATAATAGAGGAGAGTCTAGAGCTGATGATCAATTAGACGTCACGCTACATTCCATATATGCGTTTCCTTTATGGTAACGGGGTGTACTTAATTTAATAATGGGACCTCTTCTGTTTGCCCACTGACTACATTTTGGTAATTTTTCTTCGGCAGATATCACACAAAACATGAACTATCTTTCGAGGTAGCTGATTATCTCTTTCACTACAGTAATCATCTATCTATATTCTGAAAATGACCAGAAAATTAACATCAAAATATTTACAAAATTATAAAAACTTTGTTAACTAGTAACCAAATAGTGGTTGACCCCAGATCCATCTCATAGTGTTTAACGAGCTATACCGGGGACATAAACATAGTCCTCTGTGTATGTCTCTACAGAGGTAACATTTTACTACTGGCATGACAGTTCAGTATTTCCTATATTTATGTAAGAGATAATTTTCACAGTTATTCTTAAGAACCTTGGCACAGAACACTCCGCCGCCATCTTGGGGGAATTGTTTAACCAATGCCTGAAAGAGAATGTTTTCAAAAGTCTGTGGAAGATATCAGCGTATGCTCTGTTCACAAGAATACGGTTGAGCTCTCGTCCCCATCAGAACATCTCACCATCAGCTTCTTTAGTATCATCAACAAACTTTTTGAAGCAATCAACAGCATGAAAATCATTAATAATCGTAAAAGAAACAACCTTTTGAGCGACAAACAGTACGGCTTCTCACCGTCACATCCACTGCTGATGTCTTAAATATAACCACGCATCGAATCAGTGAAATGCGTGATAACAAACACATCTTGAGAGCGATCACCTTAGATATCTCGAAGGCCTTTGACAAGATGTGGCATCGGGTGTTGCTCCACAAACACATTATCTGTTGAATTTCTGGAAGAGTTTTCTCACTTGTTAAGTCCTTTTTATCATGTCGGCCTATGAAAGTCGTTTTCAATGACCGGTTCTTTGATGTATGTTAGATCAACGCTGGCATTATTTAAAGGCCTACCATCTTATTGATTTATATTAATGATCTAAGAACACTCTCAGATCTTTAGTAAATATATATAAGCAAATGATGCTACCGTTAATGGTTGAACCGAGAAAAATCTAGATGACCAGAGCCGGACAGTTGATCTATCGGCTGAATTAGCTCTCACAGCTCAATTGGGGGAAAGACTAGCTTGTTTAATTCGATACACCCCAAAACAAAGCAAGTAAGTTTCCATCACCCCACTAGCTGAAAACAAATAAGCGGTTGGGCTCATAAAGAGGCTTTTTGTCTCGACTGTCTATAAAGTTAAATCCAAACTACAAATGAAACTTTTATAGCATTGGTAACCATGCTAAAAGAATAATTGGCTCCTTGTGCTCCAAAAAGTCCCCAACTCTTATTGTCATGTTCTATATTAGCAAGATGGAATATGTCATCTCTAGGCTGGTCATGCCTAGCCCTCAGTGTCCAGCGCTGGGTTTGGGTTTATTTTGTTTTACGGCATATCAACACCCCAATGGATTATTTAATGCAGGCAAAATTTTTAGAATAGATTCGTATAAATAGAGTATGTATTCCATTTACATTATTCTGACTATTGTCCTCATCTTTGTCGCCATATTTATTACAACGTTTCGGTCGTTGTACGCTCCGGCCTCCTTCAGGTGGTTGAAATGTCGAATTAAACCCTTTATTTCGCTCACTGGGGTAGACTGTTCTAGTTCCACGTGCCATGTTTAATGGATGTCAGTTATCAGTTATCTCCTGTTAATTCCCCTCTCCATGTTCTTCACTGCCTTTACCGGGTAGTGAAATACTGGGTTGTAATAAATATGGCGACAAATATGAGGACAATAGTCCGAATAATGTAAATAGTTTACATAATACCTCATCTGTGAAATATAGACAGATACAGAATATGTATTCTTTGTAAGAAATCCGTTTGTAGGTCAGTTTTCATTGACGTATTTTTTGTATAAATAGAATATGTATAAATAGAATTTCGTATAAATAGAATATGTATTCTGTTTACATTATTTGGACTATTGTCCTCATCTTTGTCGCCATATTTATTACAACGTTTCGGCCGTTGTATGCTCCGACCTTCTTCATCTGGTTAGAATGTCTAAATGAACCCTCAAAGACACATGGCAGTTTTCATTGATGTATTTTTGTATAGAGGGTTTTTAGTCGAGGGTGTTCTGATATTTTCTTCGAAAAAATGTATGGCTAGTAATTTATTTCCCAAAAATATTGTTGGAATTTGTACTAAAAAAAATGAATTTTATGCTTTCATAGTGTTTTGACTCTAGATTGAGCATAACTATTTGCCCATAGCTGGGACTCTTAACAGGTGTTAACACCCCAAATCGGAATGGACCTGGAAACAACAGCATTTAAGAAGTGGTTTCATGTTCCTTAAAACCTCCCGATCAGAGACCTTGCTACTTGATGTAGTTTATCGTCAGACCCAGGACCCTCAGGTTTGAAATGTTCGCTATTGCATAGTTTAGAAATTTCAGAAAAGACAGTAATACAAGATACGAACTAAATAAAATATTTCTAATATGTAGCCATATTCAGCGACTATATTTTAAACATCTTTTTATATGTTTCAATCTGGAAGAATAACAATACCGAATACCGATATCTCTATAGAAAGAATCTCTTGAGGTCAACGCACAAGATACAGTAGAAATAGAATAAGCTTAGAAACCATCGTGTTCGAAGATACAATGCTGGAAGCTGGAAAGAAATGGAAGAAAAGGATTTCCGCTCCCCATGATCTCTCAGTAAAGAATCAATTGTAACGTTCGGCCATTAGTAAATGTCTAGTGACGAAGAATAAAGAGCTTCGATTTCTTACACAGCAGAATTGGATACTCTACATTAACAATTGATGCAATTGCATAAGTAAACACGCTATGTGAAACCGATGTCATCACTGAAAGTAGAACCACAAAAATTTTGCTATGCATTTGCTGGAATATAATAAGCATCGTTTGGTCTGAATTTGGTCAGCGCAAAAAAGCTCAGTGCAGAAAAGCTCAGTGCAGAAAAGCTCAGTGCAAAACTTTATTATCGAAAGCTTATGCATGCCACAGTGTGATTATAAATTCTAAACGATTTTAATTTTTGCAAATTCAAAGATTTTCACTCATATATTGACTCTACTCGAGCTAATACGGATAATATATACGCACACACACGCACACACACACATATATATATATATATATATATATATATATATATAGGATTGGTTTATACGGAATAAATTCCAATAACCAACAAATACTATTTTTAAAAGAGTGCTCAATTGGATTGATTTGAACGTTTTAAAACCCTTTATTATACATTCAACACCATCACATGATAAGACACCAGAAGTGTTGAAACAAAATGGCTATTTTTGTAGTGATTTTATAACATATTTATGTTATAATTTTCGAATAAATAATTATATATATATATATATATATATATATATATATATATATATATATATATATATAAACACTCTATACAAATTCAGTATTAGGAAAACGTTCGGCAGGCGTGAGAAAAAAAAATTTACAAAAATAAACCCTACATTTATAGGTGCATTGGAATAGCAAAGATGACTTCCAATAACTAAGCAAAGTATTAAGAAACAGGAAAACGTTGTTGGAACAAAGAAAAAGTGTTGAAAAGTTCTGTAATTTTGTTCATCCTGGTTGTTAGTGAATGCTGGACAATCTACTCAAAGACGACAAAAAGACTTTAAGCGAAAGAAATATGGTTCTACAGAAGGATGCTTAGAATACCATGGACTGAACACGCGAATATCAACCACGCTTTAAGGAAAATGAAATAAATATGCGCTTTTACTTAGTATGAGAAAGAGACAGTTAACAATCTCTGAATGAAGGCTTGGAGAATTTGACACACACAGGGCATATTGACTGAAAGAGGAACATCGGGAAACAGCGAGTGATCTACCTAACGAGGTTGTGCAAATAAAACGCAGAATATGGCCTGGGAAGGATGGTGAAAAATAAATTCTACTAACAGCTAAAAAGAATAGAAAGTTGTGGGGGACCATTATCGCCCACGTCCTGAAGGGACACAGCACAAAGAAGAACAAGAAGAAATAAAAAGAAAAAAAGTAAATGTTTGGTGAATAAACATCGCCCAACAGTTTAATAGAAAACCCCGCATAAGAAAACAAACCTAAAATAAAATAAAAGCCTTACCTTCAGATGTTTTACTTCCTACACCTTACTCATCAGATTTTGAGATTATTTCGACTAAAAAGAAAGTTTTCTTAATATCACTCCCTTCGAAAATAAATAAAGTTTCAATTCACTTTTCACAACTTTCTTTTCATCAAAGCGTCCAAATTGAACGTTAGAGTGAGCTGTTATAATTTCTTATAATGATTATTATATCATTGATTAATGAAATTCAATCAGTTTTGTCTTATTTTCTTGTCATATCCTTTTTATGTGCCGTGTTCCTTCTTGGACGTGAACAAACATGGCTCTCCTTATCTCCCTGTCCCTTGTATCTCCAAAGAATGTTTGATTATTTATCATTATCACCCTTTCTATGTCACGGCTCTGTCATCCATTTAGTCGAACTCATTTGGTAGTTTACTCTTTCCCTCTGCCTTTTTTTCATTCAGTATGACTTGTAAGTGTATAATTCTCCGAACCCTCTTTCCTCATTATGTGTGTTAGTAATTTCAATTTATATCTTAATTGTTCCTATTTTCTAAAAAAACTTCATCGTTGGCGACATGTTTAATTCATGGTATCCTAAGCATGTTGCTTCAATTTTCCTTTTTACCCTTAAGGAAATTGTCCAGTATTTACTGCCATATAATAAAATAATATATTACATAGTAGTTCACCATTTTTTTCTTTGTTTCTAACAAGATTTTATTATCGTCTATTATCACAGTATCTGCATTGTGAAATTTATCTATCCTCTAAACTATGACGTCTTCAATTCGTAGCCTAGCAACTTTGGTTGTCTCTCTTACTGACGACCAAAAATTATGTTTTCTTTCAGTTATTTTTCAACGTTATTCCTTTCATCACGCTTTCTTGTGTTATCTTTGTTATGAGTGTTTTCTTTTTGTTTTCCTACTGAGTTTGCCATCAACACAAGATCACGTTCGCTCATAATACATTCTGGTAGGTCTGCTATTTCTTTTAGAATCGTCTTACAGTATTAGTTGAATAAATTGGGAGAAAAATGCATCCAAATTTCCTTTTCATTTTGGCTTACGAACACACCACGTTGAATCACCGGTTTCCATACAATCACCGAAGTTAAGCAACGTCAAACCTGATCATTAACTAGATGGGTGATCGCTTGGGAATACCAGGTGTTCTAAACGTAGATGTGCGGGCTGTAATGGATAATAGGAATTATTAATCGGAGACCCCAGTTCCAATTCCAGTCGAGTTTGTCATCTTTATTTAAGCGTAAATACTCTTGGGAAAGGTATGAATCCACTTCTTCTCCCACTAGCTATGTGTTAATTAGTAAGACTTCTAAAAAGTAAAACCATTATTGTCTCCAAAAAATTCGAACAAAATATTTATATTTCGGCATTAAATAACTCATAGAGATCAATATGGCGCTAAACAAATGCAGCCAAGCAATCAAATCATTTCCTGTCCACGTCATTCCGGTTTTTACAATGTATATGTTACAGATTTTCCTGACATCTTTCCTATATAAGTCTTAGGTTTTATCACATTTCGAACAGTTCTTTGCGTCGTATTTTATCAAATTTCTTTGCCTAATCTAAGGAATATAAGTAAAAGTTTTCCCTTAGACATTTAACAATTTTCAAATACGTCAGTCTGCTACTGCGCTTAAATTCCTAAGGTCTAGGTACAATAGTGAAGCTATCATCGTAAGAACTAACATGAAAGTATTTATAAAAAAAAAGCATAGGGAGGAAACTTTACGGCGATGGGAAAGTGTTTGAAGCCGAGACGCTATGTCAGGGCCAATAATATTTTTCTTTGGATTTTATCAATTACTTGACTATCCGTGACCCGTTGAGTCACTGGCGGTTTAGGTTATAAAATATTGAAGTTGATTTCAACATTAAAAACATTCCGTTTGAAATAAAGGTTGAAATAAAAGTACTTACTGTAAATTGTAATATTTTAAAATCTTATTCATTTAAAATATTATTTTAAAATCAGATTAACTTAAAATATTTTTTTAATATGCCAAAAATATTTTAAATCATATTCACTTTAAAATATTTTTTAAATATTTAAAATATTGATGGTTTAAAGAAAGCTGGAATATTAAGAAGCACACACGCAACTACAGAGAGGTGGAAAGAGAGAGGTGGAAAAGAGAGGTGGAAAGTAGGCGAGAGAAAGAAAGAGAGAGGTGGAAGGAAAGAGGTGGAAAGAAAGAGATGGAAAGAGAGAGAGGGAGAAAGAGAGGGAGGTGCAAAGTGTGAGATGGAATATGAGAGAGGGGGAAAGAAAGAGAGGTGGAAAGAGTTAGAAAGATGGAGGTGGAAAGGAGGAAGGAGAGAAAGGTGGAAAGAGAGAAATGGAAAGAGAGAGAGGTGGAAAGAGAGAGATGTGAAAAGAGAGAGAGGTGGAAAGAGAGAGATGGAATATGAGAGAGGTGGAAAAAAGAGAGGTGGAAAGAGGTAGAAAGACAGAGGTGGAAAGAGGGAAGGAGAGAAAGGTGCAAAGAGAGAGATGGAAAGAGAGACAGAGGTAGCAAGAGAGAAAGAGAGAGAGAAAGAGAGGTAGAAAGCGGAAAAAGATATGGAAAGAGAAAGTTGGAAAGAAACAAATCAGTATGCGCCCGACGGCCGACGTACGCACGATTCAGAATTAGCATTATATAGGCAGATATCTAAATATATAGCAGGAGCACCAGACCATACGTGGTAGCAATATTTCAAGCATGGACGAATGGTAGACTTATAGATATGTAAGATAGATTGTGAAGAGAAAAATTACCTCGAACGTGACAGTGAAACAACTTTCTTGGCAACTGAACTCCCAATGGATTGAATATAGGATTTCCACCATGTCAGCTGAGAATCTTAGCCCGAGAACCAGAAGACAAAATAATGATGTAATCAAGATTTTGATTATCCACGAAGCCTTAAGCAAAAAAGTTTAGCACGAGAACTCTCACAGTTACTAGAAAGAATAGTAACAGTGGGCAAGAAATCTATTTTATTGAAAAGCTATTTTAAAAGAATGAATTCAAGAAGTTTCAACGGACAGTAACACTGACGGTTCGTAAATAAAGGCCCAGTGTTTCCTGTATGGAAACGCTTAATTTCACTATGGGCATTACTTGTATTTTTCTTCTAAATTGTAACTTACAGAAAACCTCTAAATTTTTTGCAATCGCCACAGATGATTGTGACCATGTAGTGTTGAGGTTAACATTGAGACGATTGTGACCATGTAGTGTTGAGGTTACCATTTGGATGATTGTGACCATATAGTGTTGAGGTTATCATTGAGACGATTGTGACCATGTAGTACTGAGGTTACCATTTGGAAGATTGTGACCATATAGTGTTGAGGTTAACATTGAGACGATTGTGACCATGTAGTGCTGAGGTTACCATTTCGATAATTGTGACCATGTAGTGTTGAGGTTAACATTGAGACAATTGTGACCATGTAGTGTTGAGGTTACCATTGAGACGACTGTGACCATGTAGTGCTGAGGTTGCCATTTGGATGATTGTGACCATGTAGTGTTGAGGTTAACATTGATACGATTGTGACCATGTAGTGCTGAGGTTAACATTTGGATGATTGTGACAATGTAGTGTTGAGGTTACCATTGAGACAATTGCGACCATGTAGTGTTGAGGTTACCATTGAGACGGTTGTGACCATGTAGTGTTGAGGTTATCATTGAGACAATTGTGACCATGTAGTGTTGAGTTTACCATTGAGACGATTGTGACTATGTAGTGTTGAGGTTACCATTGAGACGATTGTGGCCATGTAGTGTTGAGGTTACCATTGAGACGATTGTGACCATGTACTGCTGAGGTTACCATTTGGATGATTGTGACCTTGTAGTCTTGAGGTTACCATTGAGACAATTGTGACCATGTAGTGTTGAGGTTACCATTGAGACGATTGCGACCATGTAGTGCTGAGGTTAATATTTGGATGATTGTGACCATGTAGTGTTGAGGTTACCATTGAGACGATTGTGACCATGGAGTGCTGAGGTTACCATTTGGATGATTGTGACCATGTAATGTTGAGGTTACCATTGAGACGATTGTGACTATGTAGTGTTGAGGTTACCATTGAGACGATTGTGGCCATGTAGTGTTGAGGTTACCATTGAGACGATTGTGACCATGTAGTGCTGAGGTTACCATTTGGATGATTGTGACCATGTAGTGTTGAGGTTGCCATTAAGACAATTGTGAACATGTAGTGTTGAGGTTACCATTGAGACGATTGTGGCCATGTAGTGTTGAGGTTACCATTGAGACGATTGTGACCATGTACAGCTGAGGTTAGCATTTGGATGATTGTGACCCTGTAGTCTTGAGGTTACCATTGAGACAATTGTGAACATGTAGTGTTGAGGTTACCATTGAGACGGTTGTGACCATGTAGTGTTGAGGTTATCATTGAGACAATTGTGACCATGTAGTATTGAGGTTACCATTGAGACGATTGCGACCATGTAGTGCTGAGGTTACCATTTGGATGATTGTGACAATGTAGTGTTGAGGTTACCATTGAGACAATTGTGACCATGTAGAGTTGAGGTTAACATTGAGACGATTGTGACCATGTAGTGCTGAGGTTACCATTTGGATGATTGTGACCATGTAGTGTTGAGGTTACCATTGAGACGATTGTGACCATGTAGTGCTGAGGTTACCATTTGGATGATTGTGACCATGTAGTGTTGAGGTTACCATTGAGACGATTGTGACCATGTAGTGTTGAGGTTACCATTTGGATGATTGTGACCGTGTAGTGTTGATGTTACCATTGAGACAATTGCGACCATGTAGTGTTGAGGTTACCATTGAGACGGTTGTGACCATGTAGTGTTGAGGTTATCATTGAGACAATTGTGACCATGTAGTGTTGAGTTTACCATTGAGACGATTGTGACTATGTAGTGTTGTGGTTACCATTGAGACGATTGTGGCCATGTAGTGTTGAGGTTACCATTGAGACGATTGTGACCATGTACTGCTGAGTTTACCATTTGGATGATTGTGACCCTGTAGTCTTGAGGTTACCATTGAGACAATTGTGACCATGTAGTGTTGAGGTTACCATTGAGACGATTGCGACCATGTAGTGCTGAGGTTAACATTTGGATGATTGTGACCATGTAGTGTTGAGGTTACCATTGAGACGATTGTGACCATGGAGTGCTGAGGTTACCATTTGGATGATTGTGACCATGTAATGTTGAGGTTACCATTGAGACGATTGTGACTATGTAGTGTTGAGGTTACCATTGAGACGATTGAGGCCATGTAGTGTTGAGGTTACCATTCAGACGATTGTGACCATGTAGTGCTGAGTTTACCATTTGGATGATTGTTTCCATGTAGTGCTGAGGTTACCATTTGGATGATTGTGACCATGTAATGTTGAGGTTACCATTGAGACAATTGTGAACATGTAGTGTTGATGTTTCCATTGAGACGATTGTGAGCATGTAGTGCTGAGGTTACTATTTGGATGATTGTGACCATGTAATGTTGAGGTTACCATTGAGACAATTTTGAACATGTAGTGTTGAGGTTATCATTTGGACAATTGTGACCATGTAGTGTTGAGGTTACCATTTGTATGATTGTGACCATGTAGTTTTGAGGTTACCATTGGGACAATTGTGACCATGTAGTGTTGAGGTTACCATTGAGACGATTGTTACCATGTAGTGTTGAGGTTACCATACGGTAACCTCAACACTACATGGTCACAATCGTCTCAATTCATTTGCTGATCCTTAGTTTTCTCTCTTTCTTTACAAGAGTCTTTAAAAAGAAAGATCTCATTGATCCAGTGGTTATGGGCCACAACATCACCTTAATATTCCACAAATTCAGCAGCTAAAAGTTCAGTCCACTTGCTTCATCAGTGTAATAACTGGTGGTAGTAGTTTTGTCTGATAGAGCAGTAAGACAAGAGACTTTCGCCGGGTAGTAATGTACGAAGACCAACATATGCATCATAAACCCGTATCTGATATAGCAAGCACATACAGCACAGCAATATGTGCGTGTTATGATGGCAAGATCTGAATTCCTTGCAGATACGGCACATGTCAGAAATTCCCGCAGGTCAGATAACCCAGTCCGATTGAGCGTATCTCCACTTATT